CACACTTTTAAAAGTTTTATAACATACAAAGAGGTACGTATGTTTCTTTCTCTCCCAAATGTTTACTGAGCACTTTACCCACCCAGGCAATGTTGTGGGTGATGGTAACAACAACAGCAAGTAAGACAGATTGATGGAATTTTCTAGTAGGGGGAGATGAGCATGAATAAGAATTTCAGATCATGATAAGAGCTATTCGGACTGAGTTCGAGTTGATCTCATGATCTGTGTCTGAGAAGCCACAAGCCCAAGAACCCACCAGGTGCTGAGTGTGAGACATAGGTTTATTGAGAAGGTTTATTGAGACTTACAAACTGGGGAGTCGCCAGTGGCTGCCCGTGGGAGCGGTAGCGCTCTGCACCCAGGCAGAGAAGAAGCAAGGTTTATAGAGACAGCAAACAAAGAGCATTCCAGGGAGAAATCATCTGGCAGATGATTTCTACAGGCCTGCTCTCATGCACACGGCATCCCAAGAAGCGAGACCTTGACTGCTGGCTAGTTTACAGAACTGGCTGTCTGATAAGCAGCGTTCCCCTGGAGCGGGGAGACCTTGACTGCCTGCTAGCTTATCTGCCTGTGGGCCAGGTCCCTACAGCTATGAAAAATTAAACTGGGTAAGAGGGTAGAGAGTGATGTGGGCTGATAGAGGGCCAGGATGGCTAGGAGAGGCCTCTGAGGTGAGAATACAACATCTGAGCTGAATGATAATAAGAAGCTAGCAAGGTAGATCTAGGGAAAGAATATTCCAAGGCAAGGAAAAAGCTAGATACGTTTTTCTTTTAAGTTTATCGGGGTGACAATGGTTAGTAAAGTTATATAGGTTTCAAGTGTACAATTCTGAAATATATCATCTATGTATCACATTGTGTGCTCACCACCCAGAGTCAGTTCTCCTCCCATCACCATATATTTGATCCCTTTACCCTCTTCTACCAGCCTCCTCCCCCCCTTGCCCTCTGGTAACCACTCAACTATTGTCTGTGTCTATGAGTTTTTGTTTCTTCGTTTGTTTGTCTTGTTTCTTTGTTGTTTTCAGTTTTATAGCCCACATATCAGTGAAATCATATGATTCTCGACTTTTTCTATCTGACTTATTTTGCTTAACATAATAATGTCCAGATCCATCTATGTTGTCACAAATGGCACTATTTTGTCTTATGAAAAGCTAGATACTTTTAAAAACATAGGCTTTTACCAGATACATTGATCCACTATATATTCTACCCATACT